GGATAGAAGAATTGATGCCTTTGAGCTTTGGTGCTGGAGAAGAGTATTGAGGGTACCATGGACTGCTAGGAAAAGAAACAGATTCATCCTGGAAAGGGTTAAACCGGGCGGTTACCTGGAGGCAAGGATTCTGAAGCTCCATCTGATAAACTTTGGACATGTTGTAAGGAGGGACTAATCCTTTGAGAGGGACATCATGCTTGGTAGGGTGGACGGTCAGCACAGGAGGGGAAGGCCCTCTATGAGGTGGATTGATTCAGTGACGGGGTGATCGAGATAGGTGTGTTAGAGACAGTGTGATTGCCACAGGACAGAGCAGAGTTTAAGGCTGTTGTGCATAGGGTCACTATGACTCGCAAGCGACTCAACGGCACATAACAACAACAACAACAATATAAAGTTCACTTAAACAAAACAAAAAACAAACAAACAAAAAATCCCTCAAAAGATAAAATCTTCAAACTCACTGCCATTGAGTCAATCCAAGTGACCATTCCAGAACTTCTGGGAATGTAAATCTTAAAGAAAAAAAGTGTTTATATTTCTCGAGGATTTGCTTGTGGATTTGAACCACTGCAGAGTATTACACTACTGTTATTATTGACCCTCCAGGGAATTTTCAGAGGCAGTTAATGCCACAGGAAGATATTTCCCATCCTTCTCCCTCACAGCAGCAGGTGGCCTCCAGCTGAGTTTCTTTGGGATTGCAGTGTTGCTTCTTGTCACCAGGCCACCATAGCTTTCTATTACACTACAGTTGTTGTTACGTGCCATCAAGTTGCTTGTGATTCATAGCGACCCTATGTACAAGAGCCCTAAATGCCGTTCTATCCTGCGCCAACCTTGCTGTCTCAAACACACGCATTCCCACCACTCCAGTCACAGAATCGATCCATCTCATTGAGGGGCTTCCTCTCCTGTGCCGTCCCTCCACTCTTCCAAACATGATATCCCTCTCCAAGGACCAGTCCCTCCTTGCAACATGCCCAAATAATGTCAGGCGAAGCTTCAGAAGAATCCTTGACTCCAAAGAGCATCCTGGCTTCACACTCTCCAGGAAAAATCTGTTTGTTCTCCTAGCAGTCCATGGTATATTCAACACTCTTCTCCAGCACCACAACTCAAAGGCATCAATTCTCTTTCTCTCATCCCTATTCACTTTCCAACTCTCTGATGCATAGCATGTAATTGCGAAGACTATAGCTTGGACCAGGTGGTCCTAAAACTTGACTCGAAGGAAGCTGTAAAGTTAACTTTAAAGCTGGAATAGAAAGAGAGCGCTTAAATTATTTGTTTATTTAAAACTATTTAGTGCTATTTTCCTGTGTAGTTTGCTGTTTTTCTGCATAGTTTGAAAGTCAAAAGTAAAAGGGAGGAGCAGACATGGGTAGAGGGATGTTGGCCAGTCTTGGACTGGGGCTGCTGTTCCTTGCCCTGCTCCTCCCCACGCAGATTTATTCAGATAATACAATTATCATGCTACAATCAAGTAATTTCTCCAAGTATACACAAAACCACAAAACTACCACCAGGGAAGTGGAGGTCCCCTGCAGTGCACAGCCTGTCTTCTTGTGGTATCGTTCTCCCTTCTACATCTCGACTGTTGAGAGATGCAGGCCTAGAGATCTCTCTGCTTCCATATCCTCTCAACTCAATCCATATGACAAATTAAATGCAGTGTGGCAAGGAAAAACTAGATCCTCATTGAATCTACTGATT